AAAGATGATGGTGAATCCCACCAAGAATAAGTTGAACATTTTTAGCGTTAAACAACATTTTCTGAATATTGAATACTACCTAGATTCTTATTGACTCTCCATATGAGTTTGGGCCGGACATTCACACACATCAGGAGGATGCCAAGACCTCCTCTGGCATTCTATAAATGATCTGTTCTGCTAGACACTGTTGAGCATCCATGCTGATCCATGCCTTGTAGATCCAGTATAGTTTTTATGAGCGGCAACAACTAGGGCACTACTGTGTATTCTGATCGCCATTACGAGCACAGCCTATTCACTGTCTTAGTTTCGTCCCAATACGGGAAGAATGAGCGTTAGACTAGTTGGTTAGTTATGTTTGAAGGAGTGCAAAATGCAAAATAAATTTGTTTAAGCAATTTTGAAAATATTTCCAACTCTTAAAGTTTACTTACTTTCTAATCGAACTATTTTAATAAATTTTAAAAGTCGCTGGAGACTGTATTTTACCCTGTTAGCTGTATACTGAAATAAAATCCAGTATACAAAGTGAAAAAATATTCTTTTAACAATTTAGAAAATATTCTCAATCCCTAAAGTTTCTACTTACTCTCTAATCGAAACATCTAAGCACATTTTAAGGGCTGCTGACGACTGTATTTATTATCTTGCCCTCATAAAGCTTTCTAATTAAATAAATGTTAGTATTTTACATTTAAAACAATAATTCAACCATCCCCATAAGCTAGTAGGGTTCACATTAGTTTATAGTTTACGATGTACGAGTTTATACTTGGTTTATAGCCAAGTTGTCGTTACGGAAGAGGAGATATGGTCTTAAGGCTATAAACTGGTTTGAAAATAGCTGTGTATTATATGCTTTTCGTCTTCAAACAGCTCATTAAAAGCTCCTCAACACTTAGGTACGGCTAACTCATATATTTCATCAGCCATTAAATTGAACCAATCTCTTGTTTTCACATGTTACAATAAGGCATCGTAGCCGATACTAAACGTAGACCAAAACTGTGTGGTGCACACACGACTTCACGGCAAAGAAAGAGTAAAATAAAATATTACCTTTAATGGTACATGGATTCATAAAAAGAGCTACACTAGCACACAAAATGTTAAAATCATGAATGTGTATTACAAAACCAAGTTATTAGAACTTTGACACAGGACGTGGTGGTTTGCAATCATATTAGTATCACCATTGACTATTGATACAACGGCACTACACACTGGGAAACGGGCAGGTCTAGTGGTGTGATACTCAGGTCCCGGAGATCGCAGGCTCAAATTCCACCAATCACCAATTAATGGATTTTGCTATTTGATGACACTGCGACCCTCTAGCTTGAAGCGCTGTATATAAACTGTTTCCCGCCAGAGCATATTCTCCAATAATGTAGAGAAGAATTAAAAAAAAAAGTACTTCACACTAATATGGACACGAATCAGAACATTTGTTAATAGTCTGAGTACATTGGTTCTAGGTAAAAGAGAGAGCTTATAAATTGCGTGACTCGTATATCAAAGATAGAAAAGCAAATTTAGGATTCTACACAGGGTATATTTGGGGTTTCTAAGGAGATTTAGGCTCTCAGCATATAATCGGTTTTGGGTAGTTCTCCAAAAAGAGATGTTGTTTGGTATCGTCAAGAATATTCAAATAGCCGGCAAGTGTTGATTAATGTGTGAATTGAAAAACGATGTGCAACAAGAGGCATTCAGATGAAAAGTTTTAGTAACTTATTAATGCTAGAAAGCAAATGACGATTATAGTTTGGATAAATACCTAAAAAAGTAACTGAATGATCACAAACACACCGAGCCTGACATCTGCCGAGCGTTATAAGAGTGCTTGTATAACCAATAAGTAATCTGTGAGCGAGCTGGTCTAGTGAGAGAACAAAGAGCTTTGGTCACCAAAATCACCAGTTCTAATCCTTTTAATCGCCAATGGGCTATATACATGAGATAATGCAGTGACCCTCTATATCTTGCCAGTAGCAATGTGTAAAACAGTTTCCGGTAAGAGCGAAACCTACGATGTAAAGGTCGGACATGACAAAGAATATATTCAACGCATAGTTAAAGCACATAATGAACAATATCTTCCTTAGTTTAACTAATGCCATAACAATTTCCCAACATTTATCACAGTTTAATGTGGAGCAGCGTTCTGATGGTAAGTGAGAAGTAATAGACCCCAAGTATAAAACTATCGTAAATCTCCAGCCATAAAACACTTCTCGCCATTTTCCAGTATTGTGGGAAGTACGTTTTATGGTAAGTTATAAAGCGGTAAACTAGTTACTGGGTCGTTAAATTGGTCGTTTTGGATAGATTTAAATAACAATCAAGCATAGTACTTACACGAAATATAGATTGTGATTTAGTATTTGTTAAACTATATATCTGTTACACTTTACATTTAAGACTGAAACTGATGTTTTGACAATATAATTTACTTTTATAGTCAGTTATTTGTTAACAATCGTGGAATAATAATTTCAGCCAATAAATAAAATTATACTTTGATATTGCTTTTATATTCCATAATATCGATTCTCAAGATAAATTAGTTTACTTTTATTCCCTTGAGAAAGTTGGTAAAGCAGAGGATTTAACCCCCCCCCCCAACAAGTATATCTTACAATGGTTATAGCTAAATACAGGATTATAAATATAAAAAAAAACAAAAACACATAGGATAGTTTTTGGACCATTGAACAGAATTTTACTTGGTTTGAAGAAAAAAATATCTTTACAGCTGTATTGTAATTTGTTACAATACAAAGGATCTAGTGCATGCTTTCAAGATTGTAAAACACACTGAATACTATCCAAATAAATACATCGTAAGGGTAGATAACCAAGTGTGTTAATTATTAACTACTTTTAAATAAAACTTTTATTAGACGTATATAGATAGGTTCCAGCTCAGTAACTAACAACCTACCAAATAGAACAATCATATTAAAACAATAAATCTCAGATAGGTAAGTATAAAGCTGAAACCGTAAGGGATAAAGAATAATTTACGTGCTTGAAATGAAAACAGAAAGGTTACTTTTACATTCTAGCCTCGTACAGCAAGTGAGTATACGCTTTATTTTATACCATTCTGATTTCCAGAAACCATTGTTGGCTTGAATGAGCCAGTCAGAAATTACGTCCCTTTATTGTTCTGCTCACTGTTTTGTCCAAGTTCGCGTTTATTTGTATTCTTGTATCCTTCCCAGTAAAATAAAATTTTTGTTGTAAAATGAATTTCCTATGAATCCCATCAGACAAAAACTGCATTCTTAATATGCAGATTAGCTGCAGCGGTGGTTTTTTTCATTTAATAAAAATATATTTACATTTTACTAAAACAATTACATGTTATATATGAATACCCGTGTCATTGCCATTATAATAAGTACACGTAGTTTTGAACATATTGTGTTAGTCAAGAGTGTAATTTTAATTCCATTAGGCTGTTACATAGACACTTTGTCATCTAGTGGGTGAATACTCATTTATACTCAGAATACAAACTTTATCAAAATAAACTTTGTAACAATTCAATATTTTCACCAATATTTTTTTTAATAGAATAATTTAATTTCCACCATATGTTTTTCTTTTTATCTAAATGTCAATCCCTTTTCAAGCCATATATAGTAATTAATTGTCCATGCAGACCAATAGGTAATCAATTTAATACAATATAATATAGAAATTTTCAAATAACATAATATCATATAAATATATAATAGCCTATAACTTTTGTAACAAAATTGGGTACTTACGTATTAAACGGAGGCCACATTTTGTCAGCGCGCTGCGGCGGTTATGTTAGGTTGGGTTATCATAATAGAAAGTATAACTCGTCTGGTATCGTTCGATTCATAACGAAGCGAGGAAAGTCCTACACACATAATATTTACGATAACCCAACCTAACATAACCGCCGCAGCGCGCTGACAAAATGTGGCCTCCGTTTAATACGTAAGTACCCAAAATTGCTTCAAATTCTATATGATTTTATTTAAATAACTTTTCAAAATTATAATTTAGCTCTCTAGCAAATGAAATTTATTATAATATATAAGTGTAAACAATGGCCTACAATTTTATGTGATTAAGTCAGCATTGACATATGTGAGTGCAACAATGCATCAGACCTTCATCACTTCCAATAGAGCCAAGATAGTATGAAGATGCAAATTAGACACTACATATTTAATATCAAAATTTTATAAAAAAAGTACATTATTCGGACAAAATTAGTGAAATTTGTTGAAAGAAGAACCATCCTTGCTACGAACCTTAATCATTCATAACATCAAGAATTTTACGGCAAAGAAGACATCAATTTTGGTGAGATCACTCCAATAGACATTTTTACCTTTGGAAGCCATTAAAACTTTTTTTAGGCCTAACATTTGGACATTTATACTCAAATTCAAAGTCATGAACTAATAGAAGCTTAACTTATTCAAAACTATTATTAATTCAACCAATCTATAATTCGAACCTACTTTGTATTTTAAAACAAAATTTAATTAGGCTTATATCACAAGATTAAATTCAAATGCCGCTCGATCACCCCACCTGAGATAAAGATCCTTGCAGTAAATTATAACATTGAACCTAAATAATTAAAACCATTGTAATAGGCCTAGCCTAAAGTTTTTAAAGTAAATTCATTTCCCACTGTTTGTACAATTTATTGTGAACCCCCTTTCTTTTCTTTACTATCAGTTTTGTATTATAATTAATAAATTTAAGTTTCGAAATTGTACATGGAGTTTCCATTGTAGACCTAAGTTAAAGGATGATTACAACTTATTGAAATTTACCCATTTGTTTCTTGAAATTCATGTTTACATATTTATGAATTATATTATATTTTAGCTTTACAATGGTATTTGCAAAGTATTGATTGGTCATAAAGACTCTCTTTGTTAAAGTAATATAATCGAGTATTTTATTGTCTTTTTGAACACTTCTTAATAAATTAAGACATAAGACATAAGACATTTATTCATAATTTTTTACATATGAAATGCATAGATAAGTCAAAATGTTGGTAAATACATCTTGTATTCAGTCTTGAGTAAATAAATGTATAAATATATAAATAACAAGGAATTCAGTTAATACAGTCAATATAATACAAGAGTTAAAATTAAAATTGAGTGACGAGCAAATAAATACAAAAGT